TTATAAAACTTATTAATAATGCATAAGCTATTGCTCCAATAAGGGCTGACCATTTAATCAGGTGATTGACCTTGTAAATCTGATACAACCACTAGTGTTGTATCAGATTTACAACACGGTCGTCACCATTGAGACAACCCAACACTAGCAAAGGTCTCAGTTTTAGTGTCGCATCATAGACCTTCACTAGGTTTTGAAGCAATCAAAGACGGATAACAGAACTCGCTTATGCAACAGATGGCTTGCTTTCCATGTGGGATGGATAATTATTCAAAATGTTCTGTGTTGCAGTAAATTGCGCATGCTTAATAGGGACTAAACTCAGCAGTTACCTTATTTGTCATTTTTCGTCATTTATCTCACTGTAATTCATGTTAATTTGTGTTGGAGTTTTATAAGTCGTTTACAACATTCGCGTCCATGTTGTATGGGAATTACAATCTCKMGCCKSMGGYKMGAGATTGTAATTCCCATACAACACGGCCGCTCATGTTGTAAACTATACATATTCTTTGACTTTGTGAAGTTCCAATTTCATTGATTTATCTTTTTTTTTCTTTTTTTCTATATTTCAGTCTTTCATTTCCATTTGTTTTCCTCCATCCATTTATCCTTTTATTCATTATTTGTGTCAGTATTCATTCACACATTATTGGCTCTTTAATCCATCCAATTGTTCATCTATCCATTGATTTAATATATTTAATTTATCATTTCAAATTCTACATAATCATCAATTAATTTGGCATATTTGTCCATGTTGAATACTTTGAAGTAATGTTGCAGTTGCAGTATTCACTGCGAAAATCATTGCATCAGGACTTCTTTGTTATGAAGTCTGTTTTGATTTTGTTCTTTCCTTCGATCTAAGGGGCGGAACTTTTCGTAAACTCATTCAGTCATTGGCACATTTGCAGCAAGCTCCGCCCAAAAGTCGCAGAAAAAAACTAATTCCTAATGATTTCTTTTGAACATTGAAGTCACAATGCAACGGTTTCTTCTGTAATGTTGAAGTCAATGTATCGAAACGTTTGTTATAAGAAATATGAAGTCCTTGCTTGTTGGGGTTGATGTATTGATCCAGTTTGGATTCCATAATTTGATTATTAACAGCCAATCCCAGTGAAAATGAGTTAACAAACTTCACCCTCAATGATGAAATGGTATGGTCTGGAGGTACAAACAGTGTTGGTAGCGGCGTAGATGACGTGGAGTCTGTCTGTGGACAACTGTTTCACCTTAGCATCATGCAGACACCCAACCTCGGCAAGGCGTGGTACTACCTGGCTGGATGGTGTTATCGTTGGGGAAGAAAGACAGTTGAGCAAGCAAGGTATGATTGTACTTTGCGTGACAGTCTGTTTGACTTTGTTAAGTGTCTGTTGTTCTTTATGTATTTCTTTTGTAAAGCATTGAGACTTAATGCAGTGCTCATTAAAATTATTATTATTTGTATATTAGTTATCTGTGTGTCTGAAATCTTCATTTCATAATAGATACCTGTCACCTTAACTGTCATTTTTAACTGCCTGTCTTATCGCTACAATTGCATGTCTGTGTGTCTTTGTGACCAGCTGTCAATGGGAACAGGTTATACAATGTGGATTTTATCTACCATATATATCATTATCCAGCAGATAAAATCCATACAACATTTTCAGAGTGAATAACTTAACTGTGAATAACTTCACTGTGTTGTCCATAGATCGGATTTCGTATGAGTTGGAAACGGACAGTACTGTACTGTGACCGTAATCGCACTGTAACCAAATTCTAGTGCCCCATTGGTTCACCAAAATTCTGCAGGCCAGGTCCGGTAACTGTGCGGTAACCGTGCAGTAATGGTGTCCCACTCATACGAAATCGGCTCTAATGTTATCCTTCTTTCATACAATGGGTACAGTTAGCACATGTTCAAATTTCATCACACTTTGTTTATTTACAAAGTTCTATGGGAAATGTTGAACTTCTTCTTGAGGAAAGAGACAAAGCTCTTCAAAGCATGCCTAAGGTAATACACTATTCCTTAATCATCTTCATTGTTTTTGTACTTATTATTAACTTCTTGTCATCCTAATGCTCAGGGTGTAACAGAGGAAGAGATAGATGCTGTATTGTCAGAACTAGGACAAGCTCACTCTACCGACAGCCTGGCTTATGATGAAGACATCGGTGATGATGATCAAGTAAGAAAAACATCATGTTTCTAGTATGGAGCTAGTTCACACAGTAACATAAGCACAATTATAAGACTTGACATAACAATGAGCATAATCTTATGTTGTGTCAGTTCATACTCATGCTGTATTGTTTAACATAAGCAGAAGAAATATAAAGTTTTTCCTTTTCTTCTGTTTATGCTAATGACATATGAGCTGGCCCTTAATATCTTGAAATATAGTGTATTTTTGAGTATAGAAGTGAAATTTTATTAAAATTATGATAAAATTAAAAATTGTATATTAGACTTTCACAAAGTGCCTTATAGACCCAGTCAAACTTTATTTTATATTAATTTATTTTTCAAGAATTTTCACTTAAAATTTCTTTATTTTTTGTAAAACCAAAGAGTCTGACTTGTGGCAAATCGAGATATCAACCTCTTTTTTTGTGTTTTCTAGTTTTATGACAATAGTATGGACATCACAAAGAAACTACTCCTACAAGCTTGCCCTTCTCTGCATAATGCTGACCCCAGTTGCCTTGAAGCTTTGCTATCCATATGGAAAGGGGTTCGGGACAGACTGTTCAAGCACTACCACTATGCAGCTAAAGCTTACTTTATGTATTTGAAGATTGGAAATGGGGTAAGCTTACTGACTGGGGCATTTTATTCATGTAATAACTATAGTCAGCCTCTTTTTAATTTCTTATTATTAGAACAAAAAATGAAAAGAAAAAATAAACATAAAAACATAGTCAGCCTTCATATTTGTATGACTCATACTCAGGTCTCAAGTAGTCTCCTCTCGCAGCCGTTAGGACGTTCGTTCCCAGATCACAACGTCCTAACGGCTGCGAGAGGAGACTAGGTCTCAAGGGAAGATCCAGAATTTTCTTCAGAGAAGGGTAAAGTTCTCACAATGATGGGGTCAACTAAAAAAACAAATAAACAAACAAAAACAGGAAAAATAATTTCTATTTCCCCTTTCTTTCTTTCATTTCTTTCAGTATGCATCTCCTGAAAAGATTTCTCCCGAAAGAGTTAAGAAAACAAATAAAAGTAACGACGATGGTAATGTGACGGCTACTTTACGACTCTTACGGCTGCTGGTCAAACATGCTGGCGAACTTAGAAGTGTACTTGAAGAAGGATTGGCAAATACACCAACAAGACCATGGAAAGGTGATAAAATATAGGTTGTCAAGGATAAATTCTATAAAATCTCTTGTGATAAAGGTTTATAATATTCCTTTCTTTTGTTGATGTTTTTCACCATTTGTGCTTTTTGTGCAGATATTATCCCTCAGTTGTTCTCGAGGCTCAACCATCCAGAGAATTACGTCAGGCAGAGTGTAACTGAGCTGTTGTGCCGTGTTGCTAAGGATGCACCTCATTTGATTGTCTATCCTGCCGTGGTTGGCTGTACTGGATCTATTCCACAATTCCTGAATAAAAACAAAGAAAATGAAGGTAATGATAATAATAATAATAATAATAATAATAAATAGTATTTATATAGCGCAAAATATCAATGAAGTTCTGATGCGCTTCACAAAATTTATAAATGAATTATTAATGAATTAAAAATGAATTAAAAGTGGAATATTCTGCTGTTGTTACTTAAAAAACAATAGAATATTAGAAAAACTTTTGTATAGAAAAAATAATACAAAAAAAACAGTAACCTAACACCTAAGGTGAAATGTTTCACTGATTTTGAAGTCAAATTTTTCCAAAGATACATAGTAGGTTCTCAAATCTACTGTAAAAGGATCAGAAAAGCAACATTTTCTGCAATGCATTTTAAAATTCAAAGCACACAACATCATTTTATCAAATCACATATGAAATTTGTGCTATGTTTTGGACCAACTTCTTCATTTTCAAGTCAACAGGATAAAAAGCTTAAAATTTTAAACAGTTAAGTAACAATGCGCGTAAGAACTGTAGAACTCTCTATTGTTCTGCGGCATTGCAACTTCCCCACATACAAATGTCTTGGTTTTCACAGTGATTATATATCAACCTATGGGTAACGCATTTTTGAAATAAAATGTGGATGAACTCTATTTTGAAACAAAGTTTCTTTTGTAGTAAAACCTCTTATCCAATCACAAGCACTCAAAACAATAGCCAAAAGAAGCTTCTAATTTGCTATGTTCCCCACATAGAATTGCCTTAATATTGTAGCTAAAGAAAGCTTTCATGAAGTCGGAATCAGATATTAAATAAAATATTAGAAAATGCACTAACTTGTAAAATTATAGCAGATTTTCTTGTTTGAACCAATGGGATGGATGGATTATACAATACACAATTAGCACCTTCTTGCATTCCTTTGCCGTTTGCTTCTATAGTTCTTACTCGGGACATTACTTAACATAGGTTGTCTTATTTGCTCTCAGGACTTCTGCCTATGCTTGTTGCCAGTATTCAAGACAAGTCAACTGGCAACCAAGCCAGTTCTCAACCCAACCCAGAAACCACTGTGTCGACCGACAAAAACAAACAAGAAACTGACAGCTCTTTAGACTCTTGCTATAAGACCATAGTAGAATCCCTTCAGTCCACCAACCCAAAGCTAGTCACTCAACTCCAGCAGTTTATTCAGGAACTGCGAAGGATAACGCTTCTGTGGGAAGAGCTTTGGCTTGGTTCGTTAATACAAACTCACCAAGACGTACTGCGAAGACAACAACAGCTTGAGGAGGAAATCAAGCGTGTTAATAGTAACATTACGTTAAGCGATCAGCAGAAAATGACCTTGATTAAAGAAAAACATATTGCCATAATGAAACCGGTGAGCATTGGGTCTTGTTATCATTGTAGACATAATCTTTCTTTGTATTTTTGTCAAAATGAGCTGTTTTGTATTACATATTAGTTTGTTAATATGGTGGAAACTAGCCGCGGTAAACTAGTGTGAGCTAAATCGGTGTTTCTAAAGAAATATTTGTGCAATAAGATGAGTTTTAACACCATAAAAAAAGTAGGTGAAATAACTGACATCTTGGACATCTAAAATGTCAGTAAGTTATTTCACCTATAGAGTACTTTTTTTTTAATTTAAAATTTTATCCTATTGCACAACTATTAGTTTATTAGTCAAATCTAACAAACCTTTTGATTATTTCTTACTCATTTTCAGGTTGTGTTTGCTCTTGAGCAACTTCAAAAGATCACCAACCATCCCCCTGCAACACCACATGAACACTGGTTCCACAAGACCTACAAATCACTCATTGAAAATGCCTTGCAAGTCCTGCGAAACCCTAACAACCCCTCAGATCCCAAAGCTAGTTGGGAACCTTTCAAACAGGTAATGATAATTTCCAATGTGTTTTTGTACATGGGATTCATTGTATATATATAAGTAAAAGTTCTACCATGATTGTAAAATATTAATTATGAAATAATAATTAATAGTGATAATAATAATAATGATGATGATAATGATAATAATTTTATACTATGGATTTTCAAGATTTCTAGTACTTCAAAAATGTTAAGTACTGTATTAAGTTTATTGTCATGTTTGTCTATTTTTTCTTAGTTGGTTCAGACTCTACAAGCAAGGTCCCAGAAGAAGTCTTCCTACACTCTTGCCATGAATGCAATTAGTCCAGTTTTGAACATGATGAAGAACACAGCCATCTACATGCCAGGACAAACACACTTTGGTGGAGGAGTAAGCTTCGAAATACTATTTTCCTGTCTAAGCAAAGCATGTTCACTTACTGCCAACTAAAAGCTCAATCGTTTTTGATAATTTGTTCACAAGAAAATCAAAGTGGTTTTCAAGAGTTTTCATGATATTCACTACAAAAATATCCTGAGAAAACTTCAGGAAATCTTGTCAAAAGCCCATGTAAATATAAAGTACTCATGAGCTATGAAAGCAGGGAAAATATACTTAAAGTAGACCTATCAAAGTGTTTTTCAAATGGTCAATTGTTATTTATGATTATTTTATCATCTAGATTGTTACACTGAACTCCATCAGTAACGAAGTCAATATTCTTCCTACAAAAACTAAACCCAAGAAACTTGTCTTCATTGGTTCGGATGGTCAAAGGTATAAACAACCCTTTAGTGCAAAGCTGTCAGCAATCTTTATTCATAAGGCAATAGACACAGAACCTCTGTGTTTGTCCTTACTTTCTGAAAGAAGGTTGCTGTTGGGTTTGCCATATAGAATACAAGTGGGAGATTTTATGTAGCAAGGGCACCACTGTAAAACTCAATAACTTAACGAATAAAATGTCACTAATAGCTGAATTGAGATATTTTCAATTGGTTCAGTGACCATGCACAAAAGAATTACAGATGAGACTCCAGGGAAATAAAAGAATAAATCAAGATTATCCATTGTTTTCCCAGAACCTCGTGTGTGTTCTTTTGTACATCGAACCAAAATATGTACAGTAAAGTTGACTATTGATACTGAAAACTTGATAAAACATACTGTTGCATGGTTAAAACTTTAGTTGCATCTTACAGTAGTTTACATTGTAGCATCCTTTTGTTGGTAAATGATAATGGTTAAATGATAATATAATGTTTATATTGTAGACATACATATCTGTTCAAAGGACTTGAAGACCTGCATTTGGATGAGAGAATTATGCAGTTTCTTTCCATATGCAATAACATGTTCACCAGGGCTGACAAGTAAGTCAATAAACTGTATTATAATCACATATACCTCTCAATAAAATATCAAATTATCTGTATGAAATTGTTGTACCTTCTCATGTGAATACATTTAATTGAAAAAAATGTCAGGCTCAAGAAGGTTATGTCAGCAAAGCAAAGACTAAAAGGAAACATGAGAATGTAATTCATAATGTGTAGAATAACTTTTCATTTCTGAAACAGTGTATACAGTGAAATTTATTACTTTTCTTTTAGTAGAGTACAAACATTAAATGTGTGCAACACTTTCTACTATTTACTACAAAATAGAGACTTAATTACACAATAGAAAACAATAGAATTAGCTTAATTTAGCAGTATTTAGTGGTATTTATGTTGCACAGTTTTAGTGTTTGTACTCTAATGTTATGATATAACTAGCTCCAGCAAATATCATGATTCAAGTTTCCTAGTACTCGAAATTCCCTTTGGCCTTAGCTTTGATGATTTTTTTAGTATTTTTTTGCCACCCAGAAACATTATTTCAGTTAACTTGGCATTTGTGTACTTCTCTGCTTAATAGTCTCCATGGTTACCTGCGGCATCTTGAAAGGTAGCTTTGTCTAGTCATCAAAGCAAGACAACCGTTGAGCGTGCAATGATAGATACCTGTGAATGATTATCTGTAGGTGTGAAAGAAGGTTTCTATCATAGCATGCTCAACACATGTCTTGCTTTGATGCAAAGGCACGGTGACCTTTCAAGATGGCAACAGGAAGGCTATTCAGCATGCTATATGACTCAACATTTTGTACAAAATTTCACATTAGTTTTCATGTCAATTCATATTTTTAACTTAATGTTTTGTTCCAGCCATCGATGTCCTTTGTTCTATGCAAGGCACTACTCCGTTACACCACTAGGACCAAGGTCAGGGTTGATACAATGGGTGGATGGTGCTGTACCCTTGTTTGCACTCTACAAAAGATGGCAACAGAGAGAGGCTATAACAGCATCTTTACTCAAGTCTGCACAGGTATGAAGCAGCTTTTCTACTGTATTTGATAAGTATGGCATTGATATGATGATGATTAATGATCATGATGATGTTGGTTATGATGATGATGAAATGGATAAGAAAAGGATAATTAAAAAAGTGTGCAGCAGAAAATTTGTCAAAAAAACACAAGAGACTAAAATGGGCAATGTTCAGTGAAAATTTCAGTTTGACTTGTCAAACTTGCACTTTAGTTGAGATCATACCACCGCATTTGTTTCCAGTTTGTTTGTTTGTTTGTTTTTGTCCTGATATAAGACAATTATTATTATTATTTACAGGGAGGCAATCCCCCACCCCCTCCACCCATGAAACCAAGTGAACTGTTCTACAGTAAGATGACGCCTGCTCTAAAAGAAAAGGTAATTTACTGTCGACTAGTAACCTCAAATGTTAATCTTTTTTCATACCATCTAAAATAAACAATTTACCATTCTTACTGGATAAAGTTGGCATTGGTTTTCAACTTGAAATCCATGTCTTTCTAGTTTAATGCGTGTGAATTGTAGGAAAAGAAACCTTCAACTTTACTTTCTTGTCAAAGTAGACAAGGAACTCAATATAAAAGTCACAGTCACATTTTCTCTGTTATTATTTTCATAGTTTGACCAACCAACCACTAGAATATCTTGTCTCGCTATCTTAATTGTTATTATTTTTTAGAATACCGCTCACCAAACAATTCAATATATTCATCACTATCATTTTGTATTAATGTCCAGGGCATTAAAGAATCTGATAGGAAAGACTGGCCTTTGAGTGTAATGAGAACGGTGCTCGAGGAGTTGGTGAATGAGACTCCTACTGATCTACTTGCAAGGTACTAGATTTTGATAATAAAAGCAACCTTGGATTTTATCATACTGGAATAATTCTGGTTATGTTGTTATAGTAAATGAAAAAGCCATGACTGCATAGAAATATTTCAGGAACGTGAACTTAAAAAGCAGCAAACGAGAAGGCATGATGTAAAACGTGAATTAACAAACTTTGTGTTCATTCTAAACAACAAAATTGTACTGTTTGTGAGCTTTTACAGGATGTTTTTTGGTGATAAACTAGTTTTTATTTGTAATGTTGAAATTTGCACATGAAAATGTACATAGATGATTGATGGTTGATCTCCCTTCTGATTGGTCAATGATCAATAAACATTTCTGAAATATTTCTAGGGGGTTACAGCTTTTTGATTCACACTGTAAACTTGTGGCAAAACATAATGAACATAGCAGACATTAATGAGTGTCATTTTGTTTTATTTTTTCAGGGAGTTGTGGTGTTCATGTACTGGATCCCTTGAATGGTGGCATATAACAAAGACATATGCACGCTCTACTGCTGTTATGTCAATGATAGGATACATCATAGGGCTTGGGGACAGACACTTGGATAACATGTTGATTGACTTTACCACTGGCGAGGTAAGACAGACACACATTGAACAAAGTAGATAATGGCATATAGTGTGCATATGCATGCAAAAACAGGAATCAGGCTAAATAAAACCAGTTGTATGAAAGTGTCAGTATGGTGGGATAATTGAGGAGACTCAGACGCACACACTCTACCTCAACATTGACTGTTTTTAGCATACGACACTCCTCACAGCTAGTTTTTGACTAAGGGAGGGAAGCAAGCTTACCAAGAAAAACCCTTGGAGCAAGGAAGAGAATCGAACCAGCCTAAAAACTTTTAAGTTTTAAAAATCACATATAGTCCCGGACCGGGAATTGAACCAGGACCACAACAGTGAAGTTTTAACCGCTTTCCCATCCTTGCTCCCCAGTATTGAATGGCTTCAGCTTCTTTGCTGTTGATGGTTTTTGTTTCTTTTACATTTTATAATCTGTGTCTTATTATTTTATCAAACAGTCACTAGGACAGCCTCAATGAGTTGTTTTCATTTCCAGGTTGTCCACATCGATTATAATGTATGTTTTGAGAAAGGTAAAGGTCTACGTGTTCCAGAAAAAGTACCGTTTAGATTAACACCAAACCTGGAAATGGCTTTGGGAGTCACTGGGGTTGAGGTAAGAAGTCTGTTGTACAGTTTGATTTACACCTAATTGCAAAAAGACGGATAAAAGATTAATTTGTACTTTATAAACGACATCAAAATAAGATGACACAGGGTTAATGCTTTCTTTAATGTATTTCTTTTTGCTAATGTGTAAATGTTGAAGTTAATTATATAGTAAAATATTGCAGTTAATATAACAGTTTATTGATTATTATCATTATTGCAAACTTTCTTCATCAATTTATTTATCTACTTTTTTATGTACTTGTTTGTATGTTTACTCAATTTCTATTCTCTTTGTGAAGTATTCATGTATTTTTTCCTTGTTTCACAGGGAATGTTCCGTTTATCATGTGAACAAGTCCTTAAGGTTCTCAGACATGGACGGGAAACTCTTCTCACTTTGCTAGAAGCATTTGTTTATGATCCGTTGGTCGACTGGACCACAGCTAGTGACAATGCTTTTGCTAGTGCATTCTATGGAGGTGGAGGCATTGCCATCACTGACACTAAGAACAACAAGAGAGAGATGGAGAGAGGTGTCACACAGAGCTTGTTTTCATCTAGAGTGGCTGAGATGAAAGTCAGTTGGACAGCTAATAGGTAATAGCATTATTATTAATAATTGATAATAATCCATAATTATTATTATTATCTCGACTCATAATAATCCACTATTTTCATGAAACATTCTATAAAGCCATAAACCATTTCAAGACACCTCTCCTCTTAATGTCCTTGGTTTAGATGGACGTTTGGATGTAGGAACTCTGGCTAAACTAAATAATCCTTTTCCATAAATTAGAACTCAGTTGTATATGTGAATAATCTTGAACTTGAGCTTGTGAAGTCTTTGTGGTCAGGATGTCCCAAATTGGAGCCAAAGACACTAACTTAAAATGCTATTTCCCTTGAGAGCATTAGAGTTCCAATGTCATAATTATGTTTGTTTCAAATCTTTTTGCTTTCTCATTCAAGTGATAAGCAAAGGAAGTTTTAACGTGATCTAGTAGCTCAACAAATAGATACTTTTGAGCTCAACAAATAGATACTTTTGAGCTCAACAAATAGATACTTTTGAAAAAAGAAGTGGGTGAAAAGCCTGTTGATTGAAGTTGGATAACACCAGTGTTATTCTTATACTAGGGATGAAATGCTGTCGTGTTTGAGTACACAAGATGAATATGGCAATGAGTACATCACATCAGTCAGACAGCTTCAATCCATGGACCATTCACTGGAAAAACTCAAAGAACAGCAAGCAACATTACAGTCAGCTGTGAATAACACCAACCATCCACTGCACTCCCTTCAGGCCAAGTAAGACTAATTCTATTTCTATTATTTTGGTTTAATGGTCTTCTTTGTGGCTTAATCTTTTGTCAGGCTTCCTTCATCTTAGAGGGACAGAAAGCACAGCAAAAGTTTTGGCTGTGAAGGAGACTATTGGTTTAAATATTGTACATGTACTTTGCTTGATTTAACTTTTTTTGTCTTGAGACCAATTTTTTATTTATTATTGTTTTTGCTGTAAATTCTTGATAACCAAGGTGTAGTAATAAGTTTATATGGGACTGGTCAAGTTTGGAGCCATCTCTCTTTTATGGCTGATTTGTTTGTTTGTTGTAAGTTGTTTTTTGTTCATAATGTTTCTTTTCTAGTGTGAACTGATCATAAATAGACCTGTTGAAACATAATCTTACTTATTATTTTGTTGATTTTGTGACTCAAGCTAGCATTTCTGTTGATATTTATCATAGATTTGATGAGTACACCAAGCAGAAGTCTACACATGACAGTGTTATCCAGTCAATCAAAGGCAAACTGACTGAGTGTATCAACTGGCACTCCCAACACAAGGTTAGCACACAGTAAATATATTTTGAATTTCTTGCATGCATAAGGAAGCCACGTGGCCCTGCAATCTATTCTGTGTCCCCTCATCAGCAAAGGTTAAGGTTGAAGTTTGCCTAAATTGCATTTAGACACATTATTTTTGCACTATTTGTTTTTTTCTGTGTTGTTTTTGAGTATGCTTATTTTCTTTCTTGATTGTTATGCCCGTCTTCCTCTGCTTTTGTCAACAAACTGGTTAAACTTGTTTATGACTCGTTTATAATTTGTTTATGACATTATGTAACTTGTTTATAACCAGTTTATTAACTTGTTTATAACTAGTTTCTTCACTGGTTTATAACTGATTTATGACCTTATGTAACTAGTTTATAACTAGTTTATTAAATCCAATCCTCCTTCATCATTGTTTCTGATGTAATCATTTGTTTTCAGGCTTCGATGGAAATGATTCATGGTCAACAGTTTTCTGTTCTTGTTTCTGAAATCATTAAGCCATTGGATGTGGGTATGTACCTACTTGTACATATTAATAACTGTAATTTATCCTTGTCTGATGCTATTATAGGCAGACAGACAGATAGATGCATCCCACTCATACACTTGCAGCCCCAATTTATATTAGATAGACTCACAAGTCTTTTTCATACCACAGGAGTCCCTTGCTTTGCTCCAGCTGTTAAGTTTCTTAAAGGTGCTGGTCAAGGAAACATTGTAACTCAGGTATGATGAACCAGCTGTAGTGCTTTGCACAACGAAAGTAAGGTACATTGTATCTAATACAATATATCACATTGTTCTCAGTGTGAGCAGTTAGAATCAGAGCTAGTTAACCTTCTTCACCAAAGAAGATCCATCCAAAAGCAGTGCCTGGACTTGATCCATACCTACTCTACAGCAACGTCCCTATTTCCTGCGAACTACGTCCAGCATAGCAGAACCTATGAGTGGATGTACTGGTTAAAAGAGCTTGTAGTTCATTCTTCAAAACGTATGTGTCAAGACATCCTGAAGAAAAGCGAAAAGAGCAGCATTGTAGCTGATAAAGCTGATAATCCATTGTCTGTAGCTGACATGAACTCTCTCATGTCCATGGAAGTCAAACTGCAAAGCAATCTAACTGAACAGAACAGCAAGTTCATCAAGTATTGTGAACGTCGCAAGCAGGAGAGTGTAGAGACAGGCTATCTGAGTAAAACTGTAGATGAAGCCCTCGGAAACCTGAATAAGTATGTCGCAGACAACCAACAGGGTGGGCTTTACTGCCTGAATTGTGTTCTTATTAAGGTGTTGGGTGCTCAGAGTAAGCGATGTTTAGTGATGGAAAATACGGCGAAAGGTACAGTTATTCACTTGTAATATGCGTTTCGTTTTATTTTTAAATGCATGATTTTAATTGTGTGTTTTTTTGGTATTTATTGTTTTAGTTGCTGCAGATAGACTGTCAGAATTGACATCTAGGGATGGAGACTGGTTCTTGGAGGAACTTTGTTCTATGAGTGGGAATGTTTTTCAAGTGTTGTCGCTCCTAAAAGATAATCCACTGGTAAGAAATCTCTATTCTCTTCTATTCTCTCCCATCCTCTCCTATCATCTCCCATCCTCTTCTATTTTCTCCCATCCTCTCCTATCATCTCACATCCTCTCCCATCCTCTGCAACCCTCTCTATTCCTCTGCTATCCTCTCATCCTCTGCTATCCTCTGCTACATGTATCCTCTCCTTTCCTCTCCCATCCTCTGCTATCCTCTCATCCTCTCCTATCCTCTGCTGTCCTCTGCTATCCTCTCTATTCCTCTGCTATCCTCTCATCCTCTCC